TCAGGGTAATTCGGTCGACTCCGCTTATTTTTGACCTAATATCCTCGACTGAGTTCTTAACTCAGTAACAGACTCATTAACTTTGTGAAAAGGTAGCTCTGGTACGAGCTCCGTGTCCCACCTATCTGACCTGGGCTGGCCGAAATGGTCATTGCAGGTCATTTTACGTTTATCGGTAATTACCAACTTTCAACTGTTAAAACTAAGGCAAAGATTAATTGTTCACAATTATACAACGCCTATAAGCAAATCTAGGTTTTGGGGTGCATTTGGCTTAATATGGAACATGCCCACTTTTTAGTTCAAATTAATTGGCGTGTTCTAAAAATTCGTCTAAGTGGGGTTCGAAATGAGACATTTCAAAGATAAATTACCCAAAAATTTCAACAAGGCATATTTCCTTATTTACTTCATTATGCGTCATCGGTAGCAAGATGTGGTTACTGTAGAAACGCCGCCTGTGATCAACGCGGACGATAAATTTACTAAAAACAACGGGACTGGTTTATGCGGACGTCTAAACAGAACATGGAAATAGGAACGCCCAGCTCAAGTAATAAGGGTGAACCTGCGCATACTTATACAAAAAGCAAAATATTCTCATGTCCTTATCTCAATAATAATATAAAACAAAACCGTTGGCCTAATTTTGAACCCAACTCTCCGCTAAACCTTACTCTGCGGTTAACACTAGCCGTTATCATAACCCTAAACTTGATCCGGGCTTACGTTACCGTAAACTTTAAATCTAACCTTAAACCTGGTCCCTACCTTAACTCTAGCCCTTACCTTAAAGCCAACTTTAATTCGCTGGAGGTTGGCCCAAAGCCACTTGTGTTGCAGGCGGTTCCTGTTCTCATATCCCACATAAGTCAGTTCAACGCCAAAAACACTTGTGGCCAGCTTTAACCGTGTGAAAAGCTGTGTTTAAATCCGTGAGCTACGTTCGCGCTTCTCCGAAAACCATCCGCAGTATTTGTTATGTATTTTTGCATGATGCGTTTTATCATGTCGCCTTTTTTCGTTTTCAAAGACAATATTAAGGCGGTATTCAGCTGCCTAAGACCGCCTTATCTTAGTTGCACCTGATCATGATAAATAGTGAATTCTTTGAAATTTGTTGTAATCGAGGATCGTCTGATACTGAGGACGACCTTCTCAGCCTCGACTCTTTCGCCGCTAAAGATTTAACCGGCCTTTAGGCGTGAAGGTTCATCTTATTGGAAGGCATTGCTACCAAGGCGTCGAGGGAAAAAGGAAAATTCACACGAATAGTCATCTTATCACCATTGGTGGAACTGCACTTTCGTTGCAGTTTTCTTAGTGCCCGGCCTCCTTTTTATTGTCAGCCTTTATTGCCAGGAACAATCTCGCCATCTGCACTGGCATTGCTTTTAACGTAACGTTGGAGTCCTGACCGCATACAATCGAAAGTTGGATTTTTCTAAAGCCTGCTGCTGACAATTCAATATTCGGCTTATTTTACAGACGGCTGTAGCCATTTTCCACAATTCAGCATGCATTGTTTGGCAATAGGCTGTTTCAATAAATCTTCAGATTACATTAAGATAGGGAACAATATATCGAGCCGGATGAATATAAATAGAGCAAGACTTAGCAAATGCAACAGTCCAATATTTAGAGGAATCCGGCGGTCGCGAAAAAGAGGGTGCTGTTGGTCTCGATAAATTGGTAAATTCTGCTCGTAAAATGCAAACTAAAAAAATCCTCCACACTTCCAGTCCTACGTTTACTGTCAGATTCGTTGAAGCCGCATGAATTAGGTCAGATGCTCAAAAGCGGAGCCAGCCCTAACTCGCCACGTGCAATGAAAGCATACAGTGAACAGCAGGGCAGAATTAGTGGGAAGCACTACACCTTGCGTGAAATCCTGGCGCTTGCATTTGGGGGGCCAGGTCTGGTTTGTGGCACATGCAAACGAGCTATTTTTAGCGCTGTCAAACACGTCTCCTGGTCCAAGCATCAGCTGGTTAATCAGATCGGACAGCGGACTGGTAAATGGGAAAGGGTGAGGCAAGTGATGTCGACTCTCAGAGCATACTTTTTCACCATAAACAACTTGACGTGCTTGGTAGCATCGCGATGCGCTAAAAGCTGTGGCTTGTAAGGTGGCCAACTGACGCTTCAACTTAGACCGCGCAGTCAGCTCAGTTGTGTTTTTCGTGTGTTTATTGGTCGAATGTTGGACTGACAATCAAACTTCCACTGGCTCCTTCTTAATGGCAGTCTCTCGCGCTTGTGAGATCCGAGCCACCAGTCCCTTTGGTGTATAATCTTAGTGTATGCGTTTTGGGGGCCAAGTCGTGTCGGGCTCTCTGGGTTCGTCAGCCACCGCATCCACTCCCTGCACCAGACAACTGACCGGCTCGAGCAGTAAACTGGTGAAGGGCAGCGGGAGGGGAGAGTGAGATTGATGGTTGTAGCGCATGTTTCTCACTATAAACAATCTGATACGCTTGAATCTATCACGTTGCGCTGGAAACTGTGGCTTTCAAGGTTGCCCAAATGACGCGATGACTCGGAGTTCGCGGTAAGCCCAGTGTGTTTGTGCGGAGTGACTAACTCGTGAACTGGGATTCGGGCTGCAATGGCTCCTTCTTAACGTGGCCTCTATAGCTCTCCCACTCAGTGGGATCCCCGCCGGTGTTATGGCATGCTTAGATGAGAATTTTCGCTGTGCCAGCCACCTGCGTCCTCTCGCATCTCCGGTCTTCTTGACCCTGTCAAGATACCGAGCGCAAGCGACAGCGGAGGAGGGGATAGTGCGGTAGTTACTGCGCAAGTCACCGTCCCTGTTCCCAACCTGCTGTGGAGCACACGGTGGACATTGTCGGAACGGACGGTTGAACTGTCGTTAAAATACGGAGATCCAAAAAGTGGACGGTTTGTTGGTCAGGTTCCCGAAGCAGAGTAACATTATAGGTCATTTTTCTCATCTCAAAAATTTACGGGATTACCTTCACGTAGAGGACCTGATTAGTTAAAAGTCTGTGCATAAACCAGACGGAAAATTCCGGCCGAAAACGCCATATGTGCGTGATGATCAAAATGACACATTAGTAAGCCGATGCAGCGTTAGACCTGCAACACGAGATAGCCACTCTGTTCATGAGCAAAATCCAGCAGCATGATTCCATCATATATTGCGAACATAGTGACTAGGGAGGAGGCTGAGATGACTGTTTCTGGCCCATTGACCGTCGTCCGTCAGCCTTCCCCAATCCCAGGTTTCCAGGGTCTGAAATTCAAGCCAGCGTTACTTGTTCATCGAACCTCGTTAAGTCCAACGTTCTGGTATTGGGTCATGGACGCATCAGAGCACTATGAAGACTATAATTCAAAAATTGGAAGCCGCGGCTCTCCTCGCAGCCAACCCGAGATTTTGGGTGCGTTTCCTAGACGATATATCTGTTACTGTCAGGAAAGATCAATAAGGACAACTTCAGTACAAACTTGACGCCACTTTGTCGAGACTTCAAGTGACTTTCGAAACAGTGGTTGAACGGCAAACCTCACTATTAGATATCCTCGTGCACCGAAAGACTGATAGAACGCTGGA